AAAAACCGGATCCGCCCTTACCCCACTCCCCCCCCCCCCCCACCTCAAACACAAAAAGAGCCAATCATTTTATGGCCATACGAGGAAAAATAAAACGGGTAACGATACAAACATAGGAAAAAAGAATCTTACTGCATGAGGATTGCTGTTTACGATATCCACAGCCTTTTCATTACTCAGGTGCTCCCATAAACCATCTGATGCAAATATAAGGAAGGAATCATTTGGTTGGAGAGCATGAGAAATTATAGTGGGACTAGCACTCAAGATAGGCATGTTCATAGGTTCAGGAAGTCTGAATTTTGCATTAAGTGGTTCCCGGTTAAATTGTGCATGTTTCAAATATACATCACCTATGGATCTAGAAACCTGCACCAAATACAATCAAGGAAGTATTAATGTGATGTTCTCGTAAATTTGGAGCGGAAGTAAAACAATAATTATAGCATAACCATGGGAGAACTTGTGAACCATTCATTAACAAAATATATGACTTCAACTTTAGTATAAGATGTGTGGAGAATTGAGGGCTACTTTGTATAAACTTCTCTAGAAACATCTATGGGAGAAAAACATACGAAGAAAAATTGACATACACTTCTCCATGAATTAAAATTAGTTTATGCACAAGTTAAAATTAAAATTTTGGAGAAACTAACAAGAGAGAACTTCAACAAATTAGTTGATGCATAAGCTAATTTTTACTTATGGAAAAACTTATTTCATTTTTCCTTTCTATAAGTGTTTATGGAGAAGTTTACTCAGACCCTAAATTGGAAAGCATATATTACAGCATGCATACATATGACGCAATAGAAAATGTACAAGAAACAACTTAAATATATGACTTTGGCTTTACATGTCTTGGGTCTGTTCTGTTGACATATAAATGGATTCAGAAATCATAGACCATGAGTCGCATTAAATTTTAACAGATAGAAGAATGCCCCCTTTCAGAACAGAGTTTAAGTAGATTCCAACACCTCAGTATTAAATAATATATTCATCTCTTCCACATAGCATTTCCAAGAATGGAAGACAATAGAGAATATAATGGACAAATAAATGTTTGGCCACGTTCCTGCAAGCACTGCTTTTCATATGCGGGAGATAAATGTTTCTGAGAGGTCACAAGTATATAAATTACCTGAATAATGCCTTTTACTCTCCACACTCCATGTTTGAGGACAACAATTTGGGGATCATGAGGGTGTAATTCTCTGAGCTCCTGTCTAACAGCCTCAAGATTTGCATTGTGCTCCGTAGACAGCTGAATTGCAGCCATACCTCCAGTGTTGCCTACTCTCTTACCCAATACAACGCGAGAATCACCCGCATTTGCCACAAAGAGTGTCTGCTGAAATATCACTCCAACCAGACAACAGGTCCCAGCACTTGCAATTTGAGGTCGAGCATTCCACAAACTTGACACAAGGGCAGTGTACCCCTCTTCCGTTTGGCGAAACGCCCTTTCAATTGTCTCAGTCGTCACAACCCCGCCTGACTCAGCCAATATTGCTGCACAGACAAGAAATCTAAGACAGCTAGCACAAGAAGCGCCCCTTTAACAAACAGAAAAAGACAACGAGGAACAATCCCCCAACACTCATACCCCATGAAGAAACCAAAATTGAAGATGGAATGCTCCACCAAAAAACAACGAGCCTTCAACACAAAAGTCCACAGTCCAAAACACTTTATTAATTACAACATAATGTGCCAAGGAATCTCAAATCCTCCCCATTAGAGGAAAGCCAATAAAAAGTTACACACAATTCACCTATTAAAATCGATTCATAATTAAAAACCACAACATGGAAAACAAACCAATGTTTAAATCCCCACTCGAAGAGATGTCATATTTAGTGACTTATACAAGATTGCCTCCGCAAGACGAAAGGAACCAGAAAAAAAAAAAAAAAAAAAAAAAAAAAAAAGGAAAAAA